CGCTCCCGCCCCTTCCCCCTCCCCCTCCCGCGCAGGTGTTCCGGGCTGCACCGTCAGCAAAGTGAGGCCGAGGTGCTGGAGCAGAGCGCTCAGACACTGCGCGCCCACCTAGGGGCGCTGCTGAGTGCTCTCTGCCGCTCGGTTCGCTCTTGCCCAGCTGTGATCCGCGCCACCTTCCGGCAGCTGTTCAAGCGTGTGCGCGAGCGCTTCCCGGGTACACAGCATGAGGTGCGCCCCCTTCCTTCAGGGTCTGGGAAGAGGCGAGGGCAAGGGGTCCCAAAGGCGAGGGGAGGTCCAGGTCATTCAGAAAGGTGGGGAGGGGGCTTGCATGGGCCCAAGCCTGGGGGATTCCAGCCCCCATTTCCACTTCCCTCCAGAACGTGCCATACATCGCCGTTACCAGCTTCCTATGCCTGCGCTTCTTCTCTCCCGCCATCATGTCGCCCAAACTCTTCCACCTGCGTGAGCGCCACGCGGATGCCCGCACCAGCCGCACCCTGCTCCTGCTGGCCAAGGTGCGGGCTTGCGGGCAGGGGTCAGAGGGCCGGCTGAGTGTTTCGTAGGGGCCTGGGCAGGACTACTGTGGCTGGCTCCACAAAGGCCTTGCCTGAAACTCCACTGTACAAGGCTTTCTCGTGGTTGCCTCCACTGAACCGGTCTCAGAGATAAAGGAACAGGCTCCTGAGGAGACGGAGATAACCCTAGGCCTACCTGGTGAATCCAGGCCCTCCAACCTGGGTCTCCAGACTCTCAGGCTGTACCTTTCTGCCCAGCACTGGGATGGGCTCCCCAGTGCAGCAAAGTTTGGTATTAAACCTGTAGAGGAGCTGGGTGGTGTCATGTATAGCTGTAATCCTAGCAGTCTTGGGAGGCTGAGGCAGGAGGATGGCAAGATTGGGCAATTGACTGAGACACTGTCACAAAATTTAAAAAGTGCTGGGAGGCCGGGCATGGTGGCGCATGCCTGTAATCCCAGCAGTCCGGAGGCCGAGGCAGGAGGATCGCTGTGAGTTTGAGACCAGACTGAGTTACATAGTGAGTTCCAGGTCAGTCTCACTACATAGTGAGACCTTGTCTCAAAAACCAAAAAATAAGCGCTGGGAATGTAGGTTCAGTTCTCAGTACCACACACACACAAAAGAACAAAAAAACCTGTAGAGGAACGTCAATAGGTTGTACCCAAATGGCCTCAGTGATCAGTTCCCATTAAAGGCCTCAGTGTCGTGATCCATTCAATCCTGATTCCCCGTGTACTTAGAGATATGCCCATGGGGAAGTGCTCTGCCGCCTCTACCTCCGTCTTCACAGCTGGAGTGCGGTGCACCCACAAAGCCTGGTCCTTCCGGCTGTCACCTGCAGGCTGTCCAGAATGTGGGCAACATGGACACGCCAGTTTCCAGGGCCAAAGAATCCTGGATGGAACCGCTACAGCCTACCGTGCGCCAGGGTGTGGCGCAGCTGAAGGACTTCATCACCAAGCTCGTGGACCTCGGGGAGAAGGAGGGTGAGCGCATCCCTGCGCAGCCCCTCCCCGTTGCCTCTGCTGGGTTATGCCTCCACCAGTCTCCGGTTCGCTGTGACTTGGCCCGTGGCTCCGCCCACTTCTGTCATCACTCGCAGCCCCGCCCACCGCCTCCCAGGCCTGCGGTTTGGTCCTCCGGCTTATGGCTCCGCCCACTGTGGTTTAGGTCTCCTGTCCTTAGTCACAGACTCCACTTCTGGTCCCCGCCCTTGTCCTCGCCCTTGCGGCTCTCACTCTAACCTCCCTCCTGGGCCCTCAGAGCTGGACCTGCAGCGGACTCTGAGCTTGCAGGCGCCCCTGGTGAAGGAGGGGCCGCTCTTCATCCACAGGACCAAGGGCAGGGGCCCGCTCGCGTCGTCCTCCTTCAAGAAGATACACTTCTCTCTCACCACTGAGGCCTTCAGTTTTGCCAAGACACCCGGCTCCAAGGTGGGTCAGGAGGGAGGCTGTCCGACGGTACGTCCAGCCTTGGCTCAGCTGTGTGTATATAGGGAAGGTGTCTCCCTTGTAAATGTGGGTAAGGGCCCCCGTTTTCCGTGCTGCTGACACCTAGTTGAGATGGGCTTTGTGCAGGCCCTCAGCCGAGGCCTGGCACATGGTGTGAGCTAGGTGCATGGCTTCATTGGAGGCACTGCATCCCCTGGGCTGCTCCCTTTTGAGCTCTCTGCCCCCAAGAAGGGTTAGGGACCCCTTTCTGGGCTACCTGGACCCCAGGCATCCAGGTTCTGGGGGGCGCTGTGAAGGGTGCTTAGCCCATCTGAGCAGGTTAAGTGTGGGGCGGAGAGAGGTGCAGGAGTTAGTCACCCTCTGGTCTGAAGCCAGCCTAGGGGGTCCCGCCAGAAGAGGGGCACAGTTTCTTCCCACAGGGGACCTCTCAAGCTGCTGTTACACAGTTTTGCTGCCCAGGCTTATTTAATTCTGGCCCCAGTCCATCATAGTCTGTGAAAGCCAGGACGCTTGGGCCACTGTTGTGATGTCCACCCTGAGCTAGGCTTCTCCTAGATGGCCCTGCTGCCACCAGGGGAAGCCCACCTCCTCCAAGGGGCTCCAGTGTGACCTGCTGGGAGCCTCACCACTCTTTCCTCTCACACCTGCTCTTCCTGTCCCGGCTCACCAGATTGCTGGTGTCATTCCCACACAAAGGTCCTGTCTGGGTCACAGATCGCCTCACCAAGGTTCCTGAAAGTCTGTGTGCCTCTGATGATGGGGCGTACACTATGGCAAATATAGCTTATTCTGTCTGTGGCTTTGTGTTAAAAAGTTTTTTATGCCCAGCATGGTGGTACCTGCCTGTAATCCCAGCACTTGGGAGGCTGAGGCAGGAGAGTTGTGAGTTTAAGGCCAGCCTGGGCTACATCATGAGACCATGTTGAGAGAACAGAAAGAAATTGATTTGCCTTGAGCTCAAGTCAGCTTTCTGTGATGTTTCTCCTCTGATCTCTGCTCAGCCCCTCTGCCTTCATGTGGCAGAAGACCACTGACCCAAGTGTGGTCTCTAGAACCCCAGAACCCCTGAGCTTTCTACTCATTCCCCTAGGGATGGATACAAAGCCTCTTTGTCTACTTGGCCCACTTTAATTTTCCGAGGCCCCTCTTAGACCATGGCATCCGGAACTGCACACAGCACCACAGGTATTATCTGAACCCTGAAAAGCAGAATAGACCTGGTGGTGAACCTATGGCACGTGTGCCACAGCGGACTGTTTGTTATCACTGAAAGCTCTGAAAGGTTTGCCATCACTGGAATAGGCTTTTGGCCACTACATCTGTGTGTTATATCTTTTTTTTTGTTCTGATACCACAGTGGAGTCCTATTCAATCTTCTGAAGCCCAAGTGATTTTTTGTTTTTCTCTAAAAATAGCAGTTGTGATGCATGCCTGGATTCTTAGCATGGGGGCGGGGGTTGAAGCAGGAGGATTGCAGCAAATTCAAGGTCAGTTTAAACTATATAGTAAGACCCTATCTAAAGAAAATAAAACTTCAAAGGCCGGACATGGTGGTGCACGCCTGTAATCCCAACACTCAGAAAGCTGAGGCAGGAGGATCACTGTGAGTTCCAGACCAGCCTGGGCTACATAGTGAGTTCCAGATCAGTCTCAACTACATAGTGAGACCCTGTCTTAAAAAAAACCAAAAACCCGGGCTGGGGATTTAGCTCAGTGGTGCTCCCACCTGCCTCACAAGCACAAGGACCTGGGTTTGGTCCCTGGTACCAGACAAAAAAATAAAAATAAAAACTTCAAAATACTAGAGCTTAGTATTTGTTCCTCTTTTTTATTTTCTGGTATTAGGCTTCATGCCGAGCTACATTTCCAGCCCCCTTTTTTACTTTTTATTTTGAGGCAGTGCCTTACTAGTGGCTAAATTGCCCAAATTTTCAGTCCTCCTGCCCTGGCCTCCCAGAGCACCAGGATGACCTCCGCAACACCCCAGGTCACGGATGAACCCGGTGCTCCAGGTGGAGCCATCCCATCACCCTCCATGGTGGCTCACATCTCCACTGTGTGATTTAGCTGCAAAGGAAATGTGCTTGGGGAGGAGGCCCTGAGTGTCTGCCATGCTCACAGCCTCCCGTCCAGCTGTGTCCTGGGCCCACCACTCCCACGTGACCCACCTTGGGGAGTCACAGCTGTATTTGCCCAGCCCTGGCTCATTCTGCAATCTCCCATGCCACGATTTTATGGACTGTTTTTCTGCCCCCACATGCAATTGAGAACACGCAGCGTTTGCCTTTTTGTGCCTGGCCTGTTTCACTAACAGTGTCCTTCAGCTCCATCCTTCTTCCTGCAAATGACAGGATTTTGTTCTTTTTTGTGGCTGCATCGTATGGCACTGTAGTGACTTCTCTTTCAGCACAGCCTCCCCCTCACCACTGCTGGCCTCTGGTCCCTCACTGTGTGCTGTCTTCTGACCCTCGTTGCCCTCCCCCGGCAGCACTCTTCCCAGCCACCTGACTGGAAGCAGGTCTCTGCTGGTCCTGGGCTGCCTGCTCACCGACCAGTTCTTTAGTGCAGGGTCCCCTGGGCACTTCTGCATCCTCAGTGAAGCCTGATCCCGGGACAGTGCCCTCTCCCCGCAAGTCCGGGCCACATTGTGCTCCTTGGAACAAGCTCTGCCCATCCCTGGATGTGTCCTGCGGGTGCCTATGCAGCACTGCCCCTCTCTTCTGCCTCCCCTTTATCCATTGACAGATCCCACCCCAAGACAGATCAAAGATGTGCCCCATGGCTTCCAGGAGAGGGCGCCTCTGCTTGCCACTGAAGCCTGGGGGGCATGGGCCTGGATGGCAGGTTGGGGAGCATGGAATTATCCTTAGGCCCATGGGGACCCCTTGTTCTGATGGGACAGTATTCAAGAGGCAAGCAGAGGCCAGATGTGGTGGCGGATACCTGTAATCCCGGCACTCAAGAGGCTGAGCCAGGAGGATTTCTGGGACTTCAAGGATAGCCTGTGCTACATATTAAGTTCAAGGCCACCCTGAACTACAAAGGGAGACCCTATCTCAAAAAAAGAAAAAAAAGGCAAGGTAGGGGGCTTGGGTTGAAGCTCAGTGGGAGAGCACTTGACTAGTTTGTGTTTTGTTTTTTGGGATTTTTTTTTGGTACCGGGGATTGAACTCTGGTCCTTGCGCTTGCAAGGCAGGCGGTGGAACCACTGAGCTCAATCCCCCACCCTTGACCAGTATTTTGAAACCCCAGCACTGCAAAAAAGGGGGATGTGGCAAAGGGGACATTGATTTGGCATTGGCAAGTTGGGGATCCCTCAGGAAGGGGGCTGTTTCGATCCACAGCATCTCTGTTTCAGTCGTGTCTCATTCCATTCATCAGTGGCTGTGGGATGACTTTCAAGCCTGGGAAAGCAGAGGCCAGTTGGAAAATTAATCAGTTCACGGGGACATGCCGGGTCCTGGCAGGAAGGGCTTGGAGCCCTGGGAAGAAAACCCAGTGTCCTTCGCTGTCCGGAAGCTCAGGCCTCCTGGGCCAGCTCCACCCCTTCCAGGGCCTGGGTGCTTGGTCACCCTCTGTCAGGGCTGTGTCCCAGCTGAGGTCACTCACTGAGCGCTCCAGGTCCCCAGCCAGGCCAGGTGCTGCCGGGAAGGGGAAGCTGAGGCCCAGAGGCAAGAAGGGGAGCTGCCCTGAGCCTCCCCTCCCCTGCCCACCCAGAAAAGCACCCTCATCAAGCTGGCCAATGTCCGCGCAGCGGAAAAGGTGGAGGAGAAGAGCTTCAGCAGCTCGCACGTCATGCAGGTCATCTACTCGGACGACGCAGGCCGGCTGCAGACCGTCTACCTACAGTGCAAGGTGGGGTGGGCAGGGGACCTGGGGGAGGAGTGGTTTCCCACCCCCTGCTGGCCACACTGGGTACAGCAAGGTGTATCTGCTCCCTGTGTGCTCTCTGTGTAGGGGTATGGGCGGGTAGTCTTTGTGTGGCTGAGTTTCTTTTTGTTTGTTTTTGTTTTTTGTTTTTTTTGAGACAGGGTCTCACTGTGTAGTGAGACTGACCCGGAACTGACTATGTAGCCCAGGCTGGTCTCGAACTCACAGAGATCCTCCTGCCTCAGCCTCCCAAGTGCTGGGATTACAGGGGTGCACCACCATGCCTGGCTTGTGTGGCTCAGTTTCTAAATGCACGTCTCTGTCGTTTGGAGTTTGCGTGTTGTACCATTTGTGGGAAATTGTATTTCCAAATGGGTGTTTATGTGTACCAACATGTAATCACACATTTATGCTCATGTGAGACTTTGGTAAATGTTCGCAGATAGCCTGCTCATCACTATTACTCATTCATTCATTTAAGGCTATCCATTGAGTGGCTGGGCATGGTGCACACCCCTGTAATCCCAGCACTCGGGAGGCTGAGGCAGGAGGATCACTGTGAGTTCCAGACCAGCCTGGGCTACATAGTGAGTTCCAGGTCAGTCTCAACTACATAGTGAGACCCTGTCTCAAAAAACAAAACAAAACAAAAAACAAACTATCCATTGAGGAGCCGGGTGGGGTGGTGCAGGTCTGTAATCCCAGCACTCTGGGAAGCAGAGGCAGGAGGATCACAGTCTTGAGCCCACCTGGGCAACTTGGTGGTTTAACAAGACCCTGTCTCAAAATAAAAATAAGTTTAAGAAGGGCTAAGGGTGTAGCTCAGTACAACAGCCCTGGGTTCCATCCCCGGAACTGAAAAAAAAATTGAGGGTTAGGGATATAATTGGGTAGCAGAAAATATGTTTAGCATGTGCTATTCCTATCACCCAAAAACATGTACATGGACACAAATATAGATGTTCCTCATTTAACATCTTACCTGCTTAATCAGACTTGCGAGTGAGACATGCTGTTCAGATTTATAATATCTTTTTTTTTTTTTTTTTTGCGGTGACGGGATTGAACTCAGTACCTTATGCTTGTGAGGTAGGCACAGTGCCACTGAGCTACATCCCCAGCCCAGTACTGTAGTTTTATGTTGTTTTACATTACAGTACTGCATGTAAGAGATAGGCAAATAAAAGCAAGGCTGTCACATTGGAGCTCCTGTGACCGTTTCTTTGTTCTGAATATTGTGATGTGCACACTGCATCCTGTCCCTTATGTAGCAGTCCTCCTTTAACGACCTGTCACAGGAGCGGAGCTTGGCTGTTAAATGAGGAAAACGTGCTGTGCGTATATGGAGTCTGCCAAAAAATGTATATATCAGGAAAAGGAAAACTTGGATAAATACTTTAATACTAAATCTGTTGAGACATGGTGAGATTAATGCAACTTACCTTTGGCCTTTACAGTTACAAGAGGTGCTCAAACTGGTAGCTGTTAGCTTCCAGACATTTATTAGTATTGTGAACTGCTGAAGGTGTGTGTGTGTGTGTGTGTGTATATATATATATTTTTTTTGTACTTATACAGCAGTACCTTGGTTCACACACACTTTTGTTTGTGAACAATTTGGTTCGCAAATAGGTGTGTGGAAAAATTTTGTTTTTGTTTGCGAACTCTGCATCAGATGACAAACACAACTACAGCCGTTTTTCTAGCATGAACACAACATCTTTTCCAAAATCTTGGAACAAAAATTATGTTCATGAGCTGAGGCACTGCTGTGTATGTATACACACATGTATATATTAAGGAGCTACTAGGTCCTGGGCCCAGTTCAAGGTGAGGGATGCAGGGGTGGAGTCCCTCCCCCCATGAAGCTTATATCTGTGGGGAGAAGATGGACCGATGAATATTTTGAGTTTTTAAAATTTGTTTGTTTTTTCCTGTACTGGGGATTGAATTCAGGACCTTGTGCTTGCCAGGAAGGCAAGGTGCCATGGAGCTACATCCCCAGCCCCGTTTGCCTTTTTTTTTTTGGTACCGAGGATCGAACTCGGGACCTTGAGCTTGTGAGGCAGGCAATGGCACCACTGAGCTATCCCCAGCCGTCTTTTTTGCTTTTTTTTTTTTTTTTTTTGGTACCAGGGATCAAACTAAGGTCCTTCTGCTTGCAAGGCAGGTGGAGGAACCACTGAGCGAAGTCCCCAGCCTCCTGTTTATTTTTTGAGACAGTGTCTCTCTATGTACTTAAGACTGGCCTTGAACTCACCATGTAACCCAGGCTGGCCTTGAACTTGGGGCATTCCTCCCTCAGGTGCCCAAGTACTTGGGAAGAGACCAAAGGGGACTTGAAAGAGGAGCTGCCTTAGGGTAGGCAGGGAAGACCTCTGATAGGTGGCATTAGAACAGCCACACATGAGGGATGAGGCAGATGTGTATCTGAAACAAGGACAAGGACAGAGAACAAGCAGGAGGGCTGGGATGTAGCACAGAGGTGCTGTGCCTGCCTTGCAAGTGCAAGGTCCTGAATTTGATCCCAGGTACCAGAAACAAACCAAGAACAAGCAGGAAGGCTGAGGTTGAGGGGCCGGGCTTCTTCCCAGGGGTGACAGTCCCAGGCCCTGGGAGAGGAGGTCACTGACTTTGGGGGGCCCTGACTGCTAGGGCTTCCCTTTAGGGTCAGAGTCCAAGCCACAGAGGACAGGTGGCCGCAAGGCCACCACATGCGGCAGGCAGGTACTGGGGTGCCTGCCTGGAGGCTGTGCTCACCAAGCTGTATCCATAGTTTCAGAGCCATGGAAGGGTGGGGAGGGCTATGGGCTGGGAGGGCAGCTTCCAGGGGTGGTGACCATGCTGTTCCCGCAGTGTGTAAACGAGCTGAACCAGTGGCTGTCTGCACTACGGAAAGTGAGCATCAACAACGCCGGCCTGCTGGGTTCCTACCACCCTGGTGTCTTTCGTGGGGACAAATGGAGCTGCTGCCACCAGAAGGACAGGACAGGTGGGAGCCCCTGCTCTGCGTCTGTCCTGGCAACCCGGGTGGTGAAGCCTTGTGGTCTGCCCGGGAAGCTACCTGGGGACCCAAGCTGAGGAGAACCCGCCCTCCAGGTGCTCAGCGCACACAGGGCTCCAAGCCAGGCAGAACCGACCTGTGTAATGCACACGAGTGAGTCTGCTGAGGCTCTGAGGGGCCTGAAGACCCATTAGAATCCCATTTTGAAGACTTGTCATCCAGTACTTCCCAGGCGCATCTGGCCAGGCCCCTGGGGACCCTGATCCTGCAGAGAAGCTTCTTGTGTGACCGGTGTTCTGAGCAGGGCACTTGAGGGAGACCAGGCTAGCGGGCCTCAGAGCACCCATGCTGCCACATCCCACACTGAGACAGGGCAGGGCAGGAGGGCACTGCGGGCACCAGAAGTTGGCGGGAGGTGGCTCCTGGAACTCTTGGTGGCCGTGGAAGTGGTGGACATTACTATGGTCTGATATCCTAGCCACTTGCACACTGGGCCGGACACTGTGTCCCCAGAGCCCAGCGTGAAAGGCGCCATGCAGCCTCACCCACCCTTTCCAGTCCTGCTCTGGATTTGTGGTTGAACAGAGGTGGGTGCTGGTGGCTTTTTACAAAGGCACTGCTGGCTGGTTCACCCGACCCGCAGGTTGGGGACACTCTTGTTCCAGGTGAAGTGGAGCTCACTGTGGCCCAAGAAGCAGGACCTGAGGTCCCATTTTGTAAGGGAGAAACCGAGGCTTAGAGGGCAGGTAATTCAACCAAGATCGCAAAACCAGCACATAGCAAGGCCACCTCATTCGGAGGTATTCACCCCTGGAGGCCCACCTCTCCAAAACCTGGTTTTGTTTTTGTTTGGGTTTTTTTTGTTTTTTGTTTTCCGAGACAAATTCACATCAGGGAGGCCTTGTAGCTGAGGCCAGCCTCAAACTTGTAATGATGCTCCTGCCTCGGCCTCCAGGGGTGCTGGGGTTACAGGCGTGCCCCACCACACTTGGGTGTTTCTATTTTTGCAGTACTGGGGATGTTTCTGTAGTACAGGGCCTCCGGTGTGCTAGGCAAGTGCTACACCACAGCCCACTCCATCTCTTACCTTACCTTCATGTGCCTGAATGGTGCCCTGCTTAACATCTATGCTGAGTAGTCACGGTTCCCGTGGTTGAAGCCAAGCTGAGCTCCTGCAGCCAGAAGGGTAGGGAGGGAGCCAAGGCAGGACCTGGGGGCCACCTGAGTCCATCCCTGTCCCATCCCAGGCCTGTTTCCCCATGTGAACCACCAGGCAGTTGGACGTGGTGGTCCCATAGTAACTCCACCCTCTCTCTGCCATCAGATCGGGGCTGCGATAAGACTCGGTCTCGAGTGACCCTGCAGGAATGGAACGACCCTCTCGACCAGGACCTTGAGGCCCAGCTCATTTACCGGCACCTGCTGAGTGTGGAGACCGTGCTGCGGTGAGGCGTCCACACCGGGTCCCCCATAGGACTGCCTGGCAACCAGGCTGGGCCAGGCTGGGATTGGAGCTGGGGCAGCTGGGTGGTGGCTGTCACTTCCCTACCTGTGGTCCCAGCACCTCACCACCTTCACAGCCACATCCAGGAGGCTCTCTGCAATGCGAGCTCCACAGGTCAGGCTGCTTCCCGCCTGGCCTTGAGGTGGGCCCAGCCCCCATGGTGGCCTCAGAGTGGGCTGCAGTAGAGCTGTTTTCTTCCCACTCTGTGCCCTGGGTGGAGGCGGCTGGGGTCCTCCTTGCTCCTCGCTGATTCTCCTGGTCTTCTCTCTTCCTACCAAGCCTTCCTAAGCTTGTGCGATCCAAGCAGAGGCACCTGCTGCCCTGTAGGCCATACTTGCCAACAGCCTGCAATCACTTTGTGGCACCTCCTGTCTGACGGTGTGGTCCTGGCCCACTGCCCACCCTGCCCTCCTGCCCCCAGTCAAAACTGACCCACTTGCTCAGCTGGACCCTGGCTTGGTGGCTGAGTGGTGGGTGGGGACGAGTGGCTTTTTACTGGGGCATTGCTGGCTGACCGGACCTGCGGCCTCTGGCTGTGACCATAGCATCGAGGCCCTTGTTTAGGGTCTGGAGGCTGCTGGGCATTGAACCCAGGACCTTCTCAGGAAGCAGGGAGGGGTGTGCCAGGCAAGGGTCACTTGGTGAAAATATGGATGTTGTCCCAGCAAAGCAGGGCAGCATGCTGGGCTGACCCTTCAGGGCCTGGAAGAGGACACATCTGTCCCCAAATAGCAGGGACAGGGTAAGAGGGAGGAGCCCCAAGAATGCTGGAGTAAGTGGCATGTAGCCTGAGACCCACACCCTGCTCACCTTCCTGGAAACAGAGCAAGATCTGGCAGGGTCCAGGATATTTGTGGACCCATTAGAAACTGCTTAAGTTGGGTGTGGTGGTGCATGCTGGTAATCCCACCATTCTGGGAGGCTGAGGCAGGAGATTTTTTTCAAGTTTGACCCCAGCCAGGGTTAGCAACCCTGTCTCAAAATAAAAAAAGAGTTGGACATGTAGCACAGTGCAAAGACCCTGGTTTCAATCCCAGTACTGGAACCAAAACCAAACCAAAACGAAACCTATCTTCTACCCCATAAGAAGGAAATGTAGCCTAGGAGGCATGGTGGTGCATGCCTATATCCCAGCACTCAGGAGGCTGAGGCAGGAGGAAGGATCACTGTGAGTTCAACGTCAATCTGGGCTTCATAGCAAGACACTGTCTCAAAAAACAAACAGGGCCAGGGATGTAGCTCAGTGGCACCATGTCAGTCTGGTAAGTGACATTGTCCTGAGTTCGATCTCCTGTACTGGAAAAATAAATTAAACTAAAAAACAGAAGAAGGAACTTCAGGGCTGGGTGTGGCTGTGTTAAATGGCATGCTTAGCATGTGTGAGGCCCTAGGGCTTGTCTCTAGTACCCCCAAAAAACCGATAGGCAGGGCCAGAGATTTAGCTCAGTGGTGCTGCCCCCTGCCACCAAGGTACAAGGTTCTGAGTTTGATCTCCGTTACCAAAAAAAACAAAAACAAAAAACAGGCAATTCATTCCAAGGTGAGTTGAGATGGGGTCTTTGAAACCTCCACTGGGCCCGCAAATCCCAGTAGTGGGTTCCTGCTTGGGCTGCAGAGAGCTGCTGACTGACCCCCGCTTGGGTAGGGTTGGTGGTTGGAAGAGAGGAAGTGGGAGGTGACTCAGGACTGAGCCTTGGGTACTGAGTTTCTTCTTTATAGACCACAGGAGTCGGTGCTGGCCCCTAGAGCCCCCGGGCTCAGGAGGCCCACATGTGGTCCCCCTGACCCCCAGCAAAAGCCCGGCTGTGGCCATGGTCACCCTGTCCTTCCCACAGGGAGAAGCACCGGGAGCTGAATGGGGACACAGAGATAGGCACGGTGCCTGCAGGCCCTGGTGAAGGTAGGTTCCTCCCAACCAGGACTCGCTTGGGGGATGGAGGGGGGTTATGGGAGCCTCGCCAGTTGCCCTCATGGCCCCTCTGCCCTCAGCCTCTGAGGACCCCCTGGCAGCACTGCTTGCGGTGCTGCAGGACCTCCGTGTGTCACACAGCTCCAGCCAGGCCGACCAGCACTCCTCAGAGCCCCACTGCACCCTGGAGCTGCAGACGTGAGCGGGCCCTGAGCCTGACCCTGCCAGTCACCCGACCTGTAGGGTGGGCCTGGGTGTTTCCTGGGGAGGGCTGTCACAGCCACCTGAAGTCTGGGGATATAGGGGACTTGTACTCCTTTAAGAGGCCTGGCTGCTCCCTGCGCCCCTGCAGCTCTTACTGTCCCTGACCCACTGTCTCCAGGCAACGTCCCCCTCCTGCCTAGGCAGACCCAGCCCGCAGCCACTCCTAGGATGGTCCTGGCCCAGGAGACTGGGTCTACACCTCAGCATCCCCTCACTACTTCCTGGCACTGCCTGGCCCCCAGGGTATGGCGTCACGGTGCTCCGTTGCCCACAATAAACCTGCTAGACTGCCAAGGCTCTGAGGTCTTGAATGGGAGTCCAGGGGAGCCCAGGGGCTGCTGGGGCTGCAGCAAAGGACTGGAGCCACCAGCAGAGCCTCTGCATCTCTGTCCCTCACTCCTGCTTCTCCTTTCCTGGCATCAGGGCTCCTTTCTCCTCCTGGCTACTGTTTCTGTCTTGCTCCTCCATCTGCATGGGCTGTGGGGCCTCTCGAGTCTTGTCAGTGCCAGCCACTCTCTCCTCAGAGCAGCTGTCACATGTACATGCACCCCCACTGTGTCCCTGGAGACCTCCCATTCCTCATATTCGGCTGAGGCTGTGGGCCTGGTGGACATGCCAGTGCTGACCTCCCAGCTGTGACCCCAGTGACTAGTCTCAAGGTGCCTTGGCCAGGCCATCCCCTCTGTCTCTCTTAGACCACAGAGCCCATAGGCCACCCTACCCCACCCTGGCTCACAGGGTGTGTCTGACCCCTTCCTCTCTAGAAGCCCCAGGCTGGGCTTGTCAGTCCATAGTCCCCTCACCTGGAGGCTGGGACTCTCAGGGCTGCTTCCGGGGAACCCTGGGAGCTGGTGTGCTGGTCCTTGGCCTAGTCCTCTGAGGCCCAGCAGCTGCCCTCTGCGGGCCACCCACAAGGCCCAGGTGGCACTCAGAGCCTCTGCCTAGCAATGAAGACCAGTCCCCAAGGGCACAGCTGAGAGGCCTAGGGTGGCTGAGCTGCCGGTGAAGGTGGGGGGCTCTTGTCCCTTCTGCACCCTGCCCCTGTGGTTGATTGGCTGCCGGGCCACAGGGCGCTGCTGCTGGGGATAGCCTGGGGGCAGGGTAGATGAGGCCTTAGCACCTCTGGGGGAGGCCTCCAGACTACTCAGCCTCCTGTCCCAGAGCCCCCTTGCTGAAGCCTGGCTCCTAGCAGCAGCAGCGGACAGACAAGATCCCCTGCAGGTGGGCTGTGCTCTAATGTCTTCCCTGCATCTGTCCATTTCTTTCTCCCCTGTCAGCCTATTAACAGTACTACAAAAAACCCACACAAAACTATTAACAAGGGTAGTAATTTGCCCAAGGTACATAGAGAGGAGCTAGCCCTTCAGTTCCAAGTTCCAACCAGAATGCTTAAAACCACGTTTAAACCACATGTGTGATCCCAGCACCGAGAGAGGCTGAGACAGATCACAAGCTTAAGTCACATCTGGGCAACATAGTGAGAGCCTGTCTCAAACAATAAAAAAAGGGCTGTGGCCCTGAGTTCAGTCCCTAGTACTGAAAAAAAAAGGGGGGGTGTTGGGGAAAGCTAACTTGTAGAGCATTTTGAGAGGAGAATGCTAGGGTAACACTGCTGCTAGATAGAAAACTGGTAAATAGTTTTCTTTAATGTCAGTATCTGGGTTTAACTGAATAGATAGCAAAGCCAAACATAGGCACAGTTCCAGAGATTAGGATCAGCAAACTGTACAGGGCCAGGCTGTAGGTCTTGGCCACACCTGTTCTAACACATGACACAAAAGCAGCTGCGGACAGTGGGGAAAGAAATGCAGGTGATGCATATTCCAGTAAACTATTTACAAGAACAGGTGAAAGGCCGGATCCAGCCCTGTACAGGCCCTGAGGTGTGCCCACCTCTGCCCCATAAGTGGGCAGGTCTGTCCAACAGTGTTTCTGGTGTGAAACTGACAACATACGCCACACACTCCCCCTTCATCTCTCCAAGGTGACACAATTTTTCTAAAGGTTCTATTCACTAGCAGCCTCTTCTGTAGCTGTGCCAAGCAGACCTGTCTCCTCTAGTCTACAAGAGGATGGGAATGCTCACTTGGCCTCCTGAGGCACCTCAACATTGAGCTACTGGAAATACTATAGACTGATGCCTTTCTGGAAACCAGATCTCATTGGTTTGGGAATAGGCAGGTGTTACCAGAACTCTCCAAGACAGATCAAATTTCCACAGTGCCAGGGCCGGAGAGGCCCCTGGTGGGCAAAGTCCAACGAAAGGTTGTCATTGCAATCACTTCCAAGTCCCTGGAGCATCCCTGACACAAATTCTTTCAAGATGACTCACACGGATGGGGGTTACATTGGGGCGTCTTCACCCTCACTGCTTTCTATTGCCCACCTCTCACAGATCCCCCCAACCACTTGGCCTGGAGTCAAGGGCCTGTGTGAGCTTCCTTCAGAGTGACACTTCCTCAGCCCAAGGCTCAAGGCTTCAAGAGAGAAACGGAGTTAGTGGTGCAAACTCCAGATTCCCTTGGGGCTGCCCAGCCTGTAGCAACAGTCGCCAAGATGTTAGGACTCTAGTTTCTCTGAGTCCCCAGCTCTTGTTTCAAACAGCTCAGTTAGAGCTTTTATACTAAACTGTAGTCTTCATATCAACCAATCGGTCAACCAATCGGATCGAGGGTAATAGACGTCGCTCGTAGCACTTCTCACATCTGTATATGCTTGCCTCCTCCCCCAACCTTCACCCAGTTCTCCCGCCACCACGAAGCCGGTGACACTCAGCCAGAGGTCTGGAAGCAGATGGCACAGGTGTCCACACACAGTCCCCTGGCCAGGAGAGTTCTCCAACTCCCTGGCCCTCCTGCTATCAGCCCCAACTGCCTACTACCCCGAAGCTCCATTCTCAGGTGCCACTCCAAGGAACATTTTCAAAGAGAGATCAGGGTATGGGAAGCCGAGAGGCGCATGAGTTTAGCTTGAACCTTTGTCTAGGCAGAAGCAGCCCAGCCTTTCCAGAGCTTGGTGCACACACCAAAGGCACCCACGGGGCAGGCCGCTTCAGGGACTACGCATGCGCAGAGCCTTGCCGGGGGGGGGCCGGCTTTCCTGCGCCTGCGTGAAGTCCTTCAGTCTGATTGGCGGCTTGGAGGCGGTGCCTAAAGTGGTGTCGCGGGTTTAAACGGAAGGAAGTAGCGTCGCAGGGCTGTGACGTCAACGGCCCTTTCCCGAGTAGACGGGGTTGTGGCGCCGTGATGAACGCTCCACCGGCCTTCGAGTCGTTCTTGCTCTTCGAGGGTGAGAAGAAGTAAGTGAAACTTGCCAGGGCGCGTAGCGGCGGACCGAGGCTTCGCTTCTCGGGCCTTGCCCGTCGGCGGTCAGCTTCTGCGGCCTCTGGGGCTTCTGCCCGGGGAACCGAGCAACTTGTTTTAGGTACTGGGGGATTGAACCTGGGGCCTTCTCTACGACCCCAGCCCTTCATTTATTTTTTAAAATTTATTTAAAAAATTGCGACAGGGTTTCACTAAATAAGTTGCCCAGGCTGGGTTCGAACCTCCAGTCTTCCTTCCTCGGCCTCCACCGTGCGGGGATTACAGGTGTGCTCCACTACGCCCGGCTGCAGAGTAGTTTTGCTCGGCCCGTGCCGGCCGAATTGAAGGCAGCTTACGAAGGCAGTGTCGACCGCACCCATTTTGCACATGAGGAAACTGAGGCACGGGGAAGTTGAGTAACTTTCTCCGAGCTCCCGGGAAGTGGCAGAGCTCCAAAGTTCTTTTCCTCAGACCTACCAGCCTCTTCTCTTGTCTCCCACAATCTCCATCCTTAGTGCAGCAGCCGATGGCTCTGGAGCTGATCCTTGTGTATCATTGCTGGTATAAAGCCTGTAGTGACTCTGTTGCCTGCAGGTTGAGGCCCAATGGTCAGACAGCTTGGGCTTGGTTCTTGGATGCCCTGTCCCCTGTTTATGGACTGTTTCTAGTTTTGGCTGAGATTTAGTTTCCTTATTTGAATAATGGACTTATTAGTGGTTCGTTTTGTTCTTTTTTAGACCAGGTGTCATTCATTATGTAGCCCAGGCTGGCTTTGAACTCTCAGTGATCCTCCTGCCTCAGCCTCTGGAGCGTTGGGATTACAGGCGTGTGCCACCATGGCTGGCTCTGTATTTACTATATTTACTCATAGAGTTTTCTCCTATATGAGATTAGAAGAGGTAGAAGAGGAAGATTGAGCACATTAGTAACCTGGAAAATATTGGCCTTTCATTCTTAAGATGTTCTGGCCCTTTCTAGCACTCCAGCCTCCTTGAGGGCAGAGACTCTCAACAGGGGGTTCATTTTGTCCCCAAGCGGCTGTTTGGCAATGTCCGGAAACATCTGTGGTTGTCACATATGTCAACTTTGTTTTTGGCATCTAATGGGTAGGGACCAGAGATGCTGTTGATGTCCCACATTGAACTGGGTGTGGCTCAAATGGGAGGATTAAAACCACATTCGAGCAGTGCATGGTGGCTCAAGCCTGTAATCCCAGAATTTTCAGAGGCTGAGGCAGGAAGATTACAAGCTCAAGTCCAGACTAGGCAATGTAGTGACTTGGCAAAACCCTAATTTATTTTGTTTTGTTTTTTGGTACCAGAGATTGAACTCGAGCCCTTGCACTTCCAGGGTAGGCGCTGGAACCACCTAACTAAATCGCCGGGCCTGTTTTGTTTTTGAGACAGGGTCTTGTAATTCAGGCTGACCTTGAACCTACTATGTACCCATGCTGGCTCCAAACACTGTGATCCACCTTGTTTCAGCCTCCTGAGTGCTGGAATCACACGAGTATGCCACTACACCTGGCCCCTGTCTAATAATTAAGGGTTGGGGAAGTAGCTCATTTGGGGAAAATCCTATAAACTAGCTCCCTACAAGAAAGAAAGAGTTGGAGCTGGGCATGGTGGGTGCACACCTATAATCCCAACATTCAGGAGGCTGAAGCAGGAGGATTGCCCAAGACCAGCCTGGGCTACATAGTGAGTTCCAGATCAGTCTCAACTACATAGTGAGACCCTGTCTCAAAAAACAAACAAAAACAACAAAAAGAGGTGGGTAAAACCTCCATGGTGTCAAAATTGAGCAGCTCTTCTTCATTCAGGAAAAGGAACAATGCAGGGTAGATGAGGGTTCCACCAGATCAGCAGGTGCTGGGGTACAGACACTGTGCTGTCACAGGTGGTTTGGTTTGTGGTGCTGGGGATGGAATCAGTGCCTTGTTCATGCCGTTTTGCTGAGCTACATCCCAGCCCTCAGAGAGGGACAGATGGAGCAAGGCTTCTGGAGGAGGCAGGCTTTGGATCTGGAGGAAGGGGAGCCCTGTCCTTATCTGTTGTCTCTGCCACTTAGGATCACCATTAACAAGGACACCAAGGTACCCAATGCCTGTTTGTTCACCATCAACAAAGAAGACCATACCCTCGGGAACATCATTAAATCGTAAGTTCAGGGCAGAGGCTCTCAGTGAGTGTTTAAGGGAGTGAGAGGAAATGCTTCTTGGCACCTGCTCCGGCATTCCACAATTTGTTTTTTTCCAAAATACTGTTAACCATGTCTCCTCACATAGGGCTTGGGGCTTCGTTGGCTCACGTGGGTGACTATAGCAAGTGACTGTGCAGCAAGCCATAGGAAAGCAGGCCTGCTCAGGTGTTCATGCTAGTGGGCATCACGAGGTAGTGATTAGCTCCCCCACCCCTCCTTGTGACAGTGACCTCAGTGACAGCTGGCACTCTGAGATGTCTGTGGCAGTGACTATGACTTCTGTAGAACAAGAGGAGCAAGTTGAAGGAGGTTCTGAGGTTATCCAGTGTCTCCCTTGGGTACTCCATGGAGGCTATTGGGTGTGTGTTTATATCAGTGAAATCCCAGCTAGGTAAGTGGACAGGGGAGTGTCCGCTGGCTCCAGGACATCATTTCCTTGCAAACACTGAGCTCTTCCCTTTGGTAGGGAGGCATCTGGGAGGAGGAGCAGTGGTGAGCTTTCCCAGGCTGCTGTGTTGGAGGTCATGGGCAGCAGTGCCCATTGTCCAGGGCATGGTGATGCCTGTCTTCTGGATGCCTCCTGCCTTAAGCCAAGCCAGTGGGATGCCCAACTCTTTCAGGGCCTGCTGAGCGCCCAGTCAGGGTTCCCTTCTGTGTAGAGAGACCTCCTTGTTCTTAACAGTACTAGGGATCAAATCTGGGGCCTTCACACTGAGCTGTCCCCAGCCAACCCTTTGATACAAGATTTCACTAAATTCCCCAGGGCATGAATTTGTAATCCTCCTGTCTGTCTTCCAGAGTACTGGGATTACAGGCCTGTGTCACCACTCCTGGCCAGAGGTCTCCCTTGTGTGCTCCCCATTGGCCTCAAGCTGCCCTGGCCTCCCCACTACGCCCAGGGCACAGGCTTCATTTTAATTCCCCTCCCTTCCTGGTGCTTCATGAGCAGGGCCTGCCTAGTGTAAGGACAGCACTGCCAGCCATGAGGCCTGGGAATCCCATTTCCATCTCACTGGCTGCTTGGAGCTGCCACCCCCAGGTTTGCTGTGCTGATGCCTTTAGGACAGGGGATGGGGCATGTTCTCTCCCACTGAACAAGGTCTTGCTGGGTGGTTGTGGGGATAAAGTCAGGTCTGTGTCTGCCTCAGAGCTCACCAGAAGCCATTTCCTAGCTGCAGACATAGATGCAGGGTGTGTTGGGGAGGGGCCCTCAGGTGTTATGTCTTATACTTGAGACTTTTGGGGAAAGTCTGCCCAGAAAGTCAGGTAAGGCAAGAGCTGGGGCCATAGCCTCAAGGCTTCCTTCACATCACCTGTCCATGACTCAGGCAGCTGCTGAAGGACCCACAGGTGCTGTTTGCCGGCTACAAAGTCCCCCACCCCTTGGAGCACAAGATCATCATCCGCGTGCAGACCACCCCGGACTACAGCCCCCAGGAGGCCTTCACCAATGCCATCACTGACCTCATCAGTGAACTTTCCCTGCTGGAGGAGCGGTTCCGGGTGAGGTGTGGTGTGTGGGATGCTGGCCAGCAGGCCCCCCACAAAGACGGCCCCTGCGTGGGCTTCCTTGGGGATGACGGGCTGTGGAGCCAAGGCCTGCTGTCTGCCACATGGGCAGGTACCTTGCCTAGTGGCTAGGGTCTCCTTGTGCTCCCTATGGGCCTGAGCACCTCCTGTCCTTTTGGGCTGCTCTCATTTGCAAGGCCTGTCTGCTTCTAGCCTTTGGTCTAGGGGCAGCTGGTCCCAGGGTGGGGGTCACAGAGTGTAGAGCTGTGTAGAGTGGGAACAACAGAGACCTCCACCTAGTGTCTGTGACGTGTCACCCTGAGGCAGGCCCCTGACTGGGGCAGCAGGAGCTGAAGGGGCGCTCAGGGCCAGCTGTGGGTCCGCTCCTGCTGCTGGCTCTGCTCAGGTCTGTCTTTTGGCATTGTGGGTATGGCACCCATTTCGTGGTGGACCTTGGGCAGGGGGCATTGGAGCTGTTTGCAACACCCTTGTTGTGGCCATTCCAGCTAACTTGTGCCTTTATCCTGTCCCCAGGTGGCCATCAAAGACAAACAAGAAGGGATTGAGTAGGCAGCTGCAAGTTTCATGTGGCCTGGAGCCCAATCCCCGCCCCTACCAGACCCTTGCTCCACGCAGAGGACAGCAGCCAGGCCCAGCTGGTGAGCCCAGCCCTGACACTGATATGTCCTGTGCATAGCTTCATCTTTCTACTCATGTGGTATGAAGTAGAGGTGACTTCACAGCAAGTGGACCGTGAGGGCCACGAAAGCAGATAACCTGTCACATCCTGATTCTGGAACTTGAGGGCTGCCGGGGAGGCTGGCTGGAGTAGAAGGGACCCAAGAGCCTGTCCACACTGTTCTGATGTTCAGCAGCCAGGCCTCCAGGCCTGCCTGCCTATCAGCAGGAACCAGGATGGGCCTGTAGGTAAGGTAGCCTCACAGTTCTCCACAGGCTGCTTGGCTGTAGCAGAAAATTTAATAAAAATATTTGCTGTTAAAAAAACCCTCCACCATTAGCCACACTAAATAAGTTAAATGTGTCCCTGGTCCTGTGCTGCAGCGGCAGGCGTCCTGCCCTGTTAACATCTCCTCCAGATGGCTACAATGTTGGAGTCCGTCAGAGCTGCGAGGTAGGTGAAGGCAGCATTGGCCACCACCATGTTCACCATAGTCTTGGTCACTGGCTGGCCGCCGGCCCCTGGTTGGGGCCACTTGAGGATCTGATGGGAAGAGAGGGGCCTGGGCTCCTGTTTCCTGGACACCAGGCCCCTGGCTTGCCAGCCCCATCCTGAGGGAGATGCCTTTGTGAGGACAGTACCTGTGTGGGGGCCTGTGGGGCTGCTGGTGGTGGAGACAACTGCTTCAGGAGGTGCCTGACATCGTAGACCCACACGCTGCCCTCTTCATCTCCGCAGAGCACAATCCCTTGGTCTGTAGGATAGGACGGGTCAGCGGTAGAGCCTGGAATTAAAGCCTGGAATTGGGAGCAGGGCGGGCAGGCTCACCAGGGCAGGTGCTGAGCGAGAAGTAGGCCAGCTCAGTGGGTGACCACTGCAGCTGAGCCAGGACAACCACAGCCACTGAGGACTGGCTGCCCCGGCGCAGCCACGTCTGGCTCCAACTCCAAAGGCAGATGGTGCCTGGGCTGCTCCCCTTGGAGGCTGTGGAGAGAAGAGTCTCGGGCCTGAGCTGTCACCACTCTTCCTGCTCCCCAAGAAGTGACCCATGTGGGTCTCGGGGTCTCAGAAGCCAAGCTGTCCAATGCTGGGCACACTCACCTACAACATCCTCATTCACAAATGCCAGCCCATCCACTCTCCGTGTCGATGCGGAGCCCTCGCAGAAGACAAACTCCACCTCACACCCCCTGCGGGCAGCAGAAGACAAGGTTGGCTGCTCTGCCCACACCAGGCAGTGCTTGGCTACCTCCAGGTCTGCTGTGCACCTGCTCTGGGCCCTGCCCTGGTGACAGCTGGAAGATGCCACCAAAAGCTGCATTTCTGCAAAAGTTGAGCCTCACCCTAAAGAGGAGTCAGCACTTGGCCACATGCTAGGACGGGGTAGAACAGGCAGCTGTTGTGTGATCACACCTGTCCCTGCTCTGGGTCTGGAACCGCAGCCTAGCACCTAACAGGGTAGGCCTGAACTAAGCACCAGAGGGGACAAGGAAGACACACAACTGAAGCAAGGGGAGAGATGCCACGAGGCTTGGGGACAGGCAGACATGGCTTGGACAGGAGGCAGGGCCAGGGCTAACTCCAGGTGTGGCAGGGACAGCCAGTTGAGAGCAGTGAAGTACATGGCCACCACCAGCACTCAGCTATTTGTGCTTAGGGTAACACTGCAGAATCTGATGCCAGCTGGCATGTCCAGGCAACTGTGCCCCTCACCATGGCCACACCCCCTGCTCTTGGCATATACTCCTCCCACTGGGCAACCTCCCCACACACATCAGCCCTGGCTGATGGGCTCACAGGTTCCCTGGAAGTAGCCCGAGAACTGTCCATCACGTGTCACCTCAGCAGTCCCCTTTAAAGGGGACCTCCACTTTACTTTCCCTTTGTTGCTGATGGCGCACTCTGTGGGGTTTTAGCTGTCCCTAATTGATGCCAGTCTCTCTCACCATCCTGTGCTGCCGAGGGCAGGAACCTACATGCTAGGACCAGGGACAGAGGGGGCTGAGCCCTGACCAGGGTCTTTTAGGGACACAGATGAGACAGCCTTGTGTGGCATTTCTACAGGTCCCTCCCTGCCTAGACACCATCTCCTTGCCCTCTAATCCTGGGATGCAAAGTACTGTTCCTTCTTTACAGATGGAGGATATTAGGCCTGGATGGAGAAAGGTCCCACAGCTGACTAGCAGGAGTAGCTCTGGGCTTAGCTGGTCACAGCAGTGTTTGTGAAATGCCACGTTCAAGGTGAGAGGCCCAAACAGCCTCTGAGGTTGCTGGAAGTCGAAGTGGCCGACTGCTCAGCTGCAGAGCCGGGCCCTCCAGGGCCCACCAGTCTCACCTTCTCTTTTGGGGCTGGTCCAGCCGCACATCCCAGCAGCAGCAGCCACCCTCACAGCCAGCCAGTAGGTGGGTATCAGGACAGGAGGCGACAGGGCAGAGGCGCAGGGGGATGGAGGTGGAGTCGAGTGTGAGGAGCTGACTGCCACGAGGTGAGAGACCAGCCTAAGTCCTGGAGCCCAGGCAACCTCCTACCCCAGCAGCTGGTGCTGCCCCAGGCCTGTCCACAGGCTCACCTGGCCTGGAACTCGTAGTCGTGGTTGGGCATACCGATGTCCCAGAGGATGATCCGCTTGTCATAGGAGGCCGCTGTGGGGTGGGGGTGGGGGGAAGCAGCCCTGAGGAGGCCCTGCTTCCTCCCGCAGGCTGCATCCCAGGTAGAGATGGGTCTTGGGCAGAGGGCAAGGATAGGCGATGGGGTGACTCTAGCTTACAGTCCCCACCGTCCTGCTTGGGCTAATGTGCCCAGCACTGCAGCTGCCTTTTGCAGCTCAATTCAGTACCCTTGTTGGGTTCACCATAGCTGGAGAGGCCAGGGTGTCTCCCGCAGGCTGCTAACAGGAAACTGCAAGGCCACAGATAAGTCCTGGAGGATAAAGCTGAGGTCCAAAGCCCAGTCAGTCAACCATGACGCCGTGTCATGTCCTACCAAAGCCAAAGCTGAATGCAAAGGCCCAGGATGGGCCAGCGGTCACCTGAGCCCACTATCATCCCAGGGAAAGGACACAGCCCTGTCAGGCAGCAGGGCTGGGTTGCAGGGAAGCTCCAAGGTGGGGAGTGTCTTACTGAAGAGGTGGGTCTCATGGGTAGGGCTGAAGCAGAGGGTGGCAATGGCCTTCTTGTGGGCACGGATGACTCCACAGCAGAAGCCAGCACGCACGTGCAGCAGGCGGACCTGGCCTCGCAGGCCTGCTGCCGCCAACACACTCCAGCGCTTCTTGTGGCCAGCCTGTGTGACCACTGTCAGGGCTGTCCAGGCCACTGAGAAGAACTCCTGGGAGGAAGTGGGAAAAGTAGTCACCAGAACAGAGCTACAAGTGTGAATCCACCTACAAGACAAGGCCTCGGGAAGGGAGGGTCTGGCATAAGCCAATAGCCATGGAAGGCTAGGGTGTGGCTTAGCAGTGCAGCACTTGCCTATGTGCATGAGCTGGGTCTCAATTCCCAGCATGACAAAAAAGAGTCATGACGAGTAGGTGGCCGAGCCTGGACCTCCAACCCTGCACCAGGAGCTCCCACCTGCAGGAACAGGGCCCTGGCACTCACCTCGCCAGGTGCCTTGTACTTGTGGAGGACAATACCCGTCTGGCAGTCAATCACACATACAGCCTCCCCGCCACATGTGGCCACCGTCTGGGATGTGGCCCCCGAACGCCCTGTTTTGAGGGGTCAGCAACATGAAAACCTTTTTCATAAAGATACCCCTACAGCTCCCTCCTCCTGGCCTCAACGACACTTTTGTGTTGCTGGACACTGAGCCCAGGACCTTCATAATGAGGTACATTTTCAGCCCTTTTTATTCATTTTTGAGCCAGCATCTCCCTCAGCTGTTCAGGCAGACTCTAATTTGGGATCCTACTGCCTTAGTCTCTCAGAGTGCTGGGATTACAGCTGTTGCTATCATCACTCCTGGTTCTCTACGACACTTTTTAGGCCGTCACTCCCATGTCCCTTTCCATCCAAAGGTGGCATCCCCACAGCCCCACAGAGAATACTTGTGTGGTCCTTCCCCTCCTACTACCAGGCCCAAGACGCACCCTCCTCCCAGGTCGGCTCAAAGGCGCAGGCCCACAGCTGGGTCTTCAGGTCCTGAGGGCTGTTGTTCCTGCTGTGGCACTGCAGGAAGTATAGGGGCTCCATCTGCAGGGCAGGCTGCGGGTGCACAGGGAGTCAAGGCTGTCCAGCACCTGGTCCACAACACATACCCTGCCACCTTACCAGTTTACCTGGCTGCCACTGAGGCCCGCTGGGCCACCTTCTACCTGGTCCGGCAGGGAGACACACATCCGCTTGGTGGGAGAGAGTTTGAGGGGTACATCAACCAGCCGCTTCATGGCTGCTAGCCTGACCTGTGGAGGGAGCCTCATGACCACTGGCCCCCCTCCCTGGGGCCTCCTCCTTCCTGATCGCACTCCCAGGGATGGACAGCAAGGGTTGGTTCAGGGGCAGGGAGGGAGCCTGCACAGTGTTGAGGTTTGGATCCTCTTTTTGGTACTGGGGAATGAATTTGGGACCTTGCGCTTGCACAGCAGGCAGTGGAACCACTGAGCTAAATCCCCCACCCGGTTTGGATCTTTTAATGTCCCCCAAAGGCTAACGGCTAAAGGCTTGGCTGCTGGCCCATGGCACTAGTGGGAGGTAGGCCTAGTGGAAGAAGTTAGATCATTGCGGGGGGGTGCCCTTAAAGGGGTACTGGTCCCCATCCCGTTTTTTCTCTCTCTCACTCCTGGCCACTTCTACCACATGCACCTGCCAGGACATATTATGCCACCACAGACCCAAACTGACACGGCCAAGTGACCACAGACTGAAGCTGTAAGCAAAAATAAATCCTCCTCAGAAGCTGGTTATCTCAGGTGTATTATCACATTAACAGAAAGCTGAGTGACACCTGGGCAGGGGCAACTCCTGGGCTCATGCTGACTTCCCGCTTTCCAGCAGCTGCTGTGGGCAAGCAGGGCCACGACAGAACCCAGGCAGCCACACAGCACCATACTCACCCTGGGCCTGGAGGCAGCTGCCACTCCTGGGGTCTTCTCTGGGATGTTAGCCGCACTCACCCTTGTCCCACCGGAAGCTGCCAGCTCCTCAGAGATCATTTGCACCTGGGTGAGCCAGGCCTTTAGGAAGCTGAGCTCAGTTCTGGGAGCCCCCAGCCCCACCCCAGACGGGTCACAGGGAGTGTGTGCCTCCCAAGTTAAGAAAAGATCTCTCCAGCCAACAGAACTACCTTCCCTGACGGCCCCCACACTCCCCACTGCTCCCAGACCCCCATGGCCAAGAGACCTCCAGGGCAGCTGAGAACCACAAAGCCAACAAAGACCAGAGAAAGTGACTCCTGCACAATGGAGTGAGGACCTACCCGCCACTGGGTGAACTCGCTCAGGGACTCTGGTCCATAGTGCACGTGCCTAATGGCAGACTTCACAAAGTCTGCCTGGACTTTCTCAGCCTTCTCTTCAGGGCCTAGGGCAGCAATGAACTTCTCCCAGTGAGCTGTGACCTGGTATGAGAGGGATGAGATAGATCCTGGCCGTTCCAGCTCCCTGGCACACAGGCTACTCTAGGCCTCTCTCGATGACCCCAGGTGTCTGAGCTTTACACCTGTAGCAGACATCCCTGCCCAGTACTAGCGGGCTCAGTGGCACTTGCTTCTTGTTTTCCATAATTTGGCTACATTATTTTATATCAGGAGTCAGAGTGAAGCTCTTTGTGACTAAGATGAGCATGTCAGATGGCAGAATGGGCAAGTATAGCCCCTCCCCCAATGGCTGCCATGGAAACCTAGGCCCTGGTCTGTGAAGTGGCTGGGCTCTGCTGAGTTACTAGCAGCTGAGGTCATCGTGACCCCAGTTAAAATTCTTTCCCCTGACTTATGGCTTCTCACTAACCCAATGGGTTGCTTGCCAATTGAACCTGGTCCTGGTACCCGTTTGTTCTATCCAAGTAAGATAAGCAGGGCCGGGGATTTAGCTCAGTGGTTCTGCTACCTGCCTTGCAAGCCCAAGAGCCCGAGTTCGATCCCCAGTACCGCTCCCCCGTCAAAAAAAAAAAGGTAAGCAGTGCTTTCTCGCTAACAGCTCTGCCTGGTGCCATTATGCCAGGTGTTTGGCAGTATTTCACTAGATGCCTTCAGTGTGTACCCAGCTCCCTATTCCTTTTCACGATTGTATTCAATAAATACTGGATGCACTTGGGGGCCATTGTCTTTGCTGTCATCAGCAACACTGATTATGCCCCAAGACTCAGCTTCTTCCCTCTTAAGTCTAGTTTGTCTTATTATTTCACCTTGTGCTATAGTGGCTCATAAGGACCCACAGCAGAGGTTCTGGAGACGTTCCCTTCCCTGCTCTCTATAACCAACCACCAGAAGTCTCCCAGGAATACAGCCTCTTTGCTACAGCTGGGCAAACTAAAGCACCACACACATCTGAACTGTCCTAGCATCAGTGTCCCAGTTATTCCTGCTGTGACACCCGCACACTTAGAGGGCTGTCAGGGCCAAGAACCCCTTGCATTTACCCTGTTGGTCAGCTCCCGGTTCAGGTTCTCCACCTGGGAGCAAGTTAAGGAGGCATCCTTGCCATTGATCTTCCGTAGCTTGGGCAGCAGAAAGGAAACCTTCAAGTTGTCATTGACCTGTGGGATGAAGAAAGAGTGGAGCCTGAGTCCCAGAGCCCTGGCTCCAGAGAATGGGACTGATGGAAGAACCTCACTTACTGTCAGAAAGGGGTTGCCTTCCAGGCTCAGCTCCTCCAGCTTCAGGAACTGGCACAGGGCGGTGACGTCCCCTAGCTGGTTGTTGGCACAGCGGAGGATGCGCAGGTGGGACAGGCCCAGGTTGGTTGGCAGCACCTCCAGCTGGTTGTTGGAGAGGTCAAGCTCCTGCAGCTGTGTCAGGCGGCATAGTAGCTTCGGGTCCAGGTGCTCGGACAGCAGCTCCATTCCGGACAAGCTGAGGTGGGGGTTGGTTGGGAGGGATCAGGGGGCAGTCAGGCCTAGCCTGGCCTCACCCCGCCAGTTCTCTCAGGATGCGAAGCGCTTGAAGCGTTTCCACCTGCTACGCTTGTATGCACAGCCTCCTCTTGTTAGATCCCAGGGCCGTTGGCGCCTTCCAGAAGGCTCGTGCTGGTCCTCTGGGGGGTTCCTCTGTGAGACCCAGCCACTCTGAATATTCTGACCCAGGAGGACCAAGGCCACTCCGGAACCACCCTGTCCAGGGTCGGGGGGCAAAAGTCCCGCGCATCTCTTAAGGAGATGTTTGGCGCCAGAGATCAGAGACTCCGCGGGGGCGAGGCAGGGATGACGGGGACCAGCAGGGTGTGGGGAAAGGCCTCAGCTTTTCTTCCCGCCAGCCGGGGAGACCCGGGTCGGAGCGAGGGTCCGAGGAGCCCCGAGGATACAGCCTTGACCCCAGTCAAACGCTTACTCCAGGCTCCGGATCCTCCCCAGTCGGTCGCTCTTGGGTTGCCCGCGCTCCAAGAGCACCCGCACCGTGAGCGGACCCATGGCGAGGAGGCGCGTCTAGCGCTGGCCTGCCGGCGCTCCTGCGTCCAGTGGGGACCGAAGCTCAAACCGCCAACCGCTCGCAGGAGGGGCGCTTAGGAAACAGCGCGGCGCAGTGTAGCTGCAACGGCGACCGGAAGGAAGCGGTGTCGAAGCCGCCTGATTTATGCGGACTACAATTCCCGAAATGCCTCGCGCACGCGCAAGCGTCCTGGCTCCAGGACAGCGAGATGACGGCTGTGGCGGCAGCAGGCGAGGCGTCTGAGGTTTTTCAGGAGTGTGGCTGCAAGGGTATCCGGACCTGTCTGATTTGCGAGAGGCAGCGCCATGTTGACCCTCCCTGGCAGCTCTTCCCGCAGGTAAGGACTGGGAAAGGGATCGCGACCACAAACTGTTGTTCATGGGGGGAAACTGAGGTCCAGTTTGATCCTATGCTCGGCCGGGATCAAAGCAAGTCAGGGGCCTTCGCGGCGGTCAAGCTGCAGGCTGAACGCTGTGAGGAGGGATCTCAGAAGTGAGGGAGCGGCTGGGACGTGGGCTGATCCGACCAAAGCGCCCCACCCCCTTGAGGGAATCTGTCAGCAAATCGGTTTAGCCCCTCTGCTCTGATTGTGGGGGGCTCCAGTGCCACTAAGAGCCACTGTACGAAGAGAGCGCTGAGCACTAAGGTTGGCCGAAGGCCTTGCGTGGAAATGAGCAAGGAGGTAACTAGAAATGAAGTGACTGAAAAAGACCTGGGAAGCCAGACAAGGTGGCTCAATCTGTAGACGCCAGTGATTTTGGAGTATTGGTAGTTTGAGCCTAGCCTAAGCATCATAGTGGATGTTTTGGGGAAGGAAAAAAGAAAGAAAGAGACAAAGAAAAGAGAGAGAGAGAGAGAGAGAGAGAGAGAGAGAGAAAGAGAGAATGAGAATACACTAAGGGAGGTGGTGGGATAAATAGAAGCTTGGCAGGCCTCGGCAGGTGCATTGCTTGGAAGGTGGACCAGTGCTGTAGGTGAGGGAGATGAAACTATGGAGGTTGAGGGGCCTGACCACAGACGTCCCAGTGTCCGCTGAGCAGGCTGGACTTGTCCTGAAGGCCACAGAGAGCTCCTGGGGGTTTTAAAGGCATTACAAAATCAAATGTGGTTTTAGAAAGTTTCTAGGGGATAGGAGAGCAGATATGAAGGTGTGGAGGCTAGGAACCCTGTGGAAAAACTCCCCCTCTCTGTGGTAAAAGTGCCAAGGTCCTATGAGAAACAGTGCAGTGTGCCTCACAGATTAACACAGACTTCACCTTTGATCTGGCAATCCCTTTCCTGGTCTGTATCCTAAAGAAATGAAAGTAAGATCTCCAGTGGTGGCACATGCCTATAATCCCAGCACTCAGGAGGCTGAGACAGGAGGATCACCATGGATGAGGCCAGCCTGGGCTAGTGAGTTCAAGGCCACCCTCAACTACATAGGGAGACCCTGTCTCCCTAAACCAAATCCAAACAAATAAAAAAATGCTGTTCACTATGTTCATATAAAGTGGTTTATAGTCATACGGTGGACTATTGCTCAGCCATAGAAAGGAAGACTGTGAAATTCTGTGAAATGAGTCACACACACAGACACACACACACATACACACAAAGAAAATTCTGACACATGCTAAACATGCATGAACCTTGAGGATGCCAAGTGAAATAAGCCAGTCACAAAAGGACAGATACTGCACAATTCCTTTTATATAAGGTCCCTAATGTCAAAATCACAGAGACAAAAAGAATAAATGGAGGCCAGGTGTTAGGGGAGCGGAGAATGCTCAACAGGGACAGGGTTGTTTTGTTGAGATAGGACTTGCTGTATAGCCCAGGCTGGCCTGAGTTCTGGGATTTTAAGCTTGAGCACCATGCTTGGCTAGTAGACAGGGTTTTATTGTATGTATATATTTATTTGAGACCGGGTCTCACTATGGAGTTCAGGCTGGCCTTGAACTCATAGTGATCCTCCTGCCTTGAGAAGGGCTAGGGATTTAGCTTAGTTGTTCTGGTGACTGCTTTGCAAGTGCAAGGGCCCAAGTTTGATCCCCAGTACCAAAAAAAAAAAAAAGCAGGGGAACCCTCCTGCCTTGGCTCCCAAGTGCTGGGATTACAGGGTTTTAGCTTTGCAAGCTGTAAAGAGTTTTGGAGATGGAGGGTGGTGATGGCTGCACAATGATGTATGTGAATATACTTAATGCTACTGAACTGGATGCTTTAAAATTGTTAATAGTAAATTTTATGTATATCCTCCAGTTAAAAGTGTAGAAAGTCTGAGCTATGCTAGTAACCATGGCCATGGGAGGACAAGGCCCTGGCACCATCCCAAGTGATGGCTGTGGGACAAAGAGAGTGAAATGTCCTGGAGACCCCCCCAGTTTATCTTGTCCCAAGTGGGGGGCCCAAGACATGGAGGAGAGGCTGGTCCAAAGGTCAGGAGGCTGGAACCCCAGTGAGGCAAGGAGCCTGGGGATGGGAGTGGAAGAGGAGAGGCCACAGAGGCCAGCACTGAGTTCTAGTGGCCTCTGAGGTCCCTGCTGGGTGGCTCTGGCTGGAACTCCCACTGGCTGTGTCTGTATCTCCCACATGGGTGGCTGTGCTGCTCTCCTCCTTGTGTTGACCTGGGATTAAACTAGATAATCCATACATAGTGTTTAGTATTGTGGGACAAGATGGTAGGTATTTCATTAACTCTTTGTTTTGTTTTTAGACCTCGCACTTGCCAGGCTGAGCTAAATCCCCGGCCTTGGTTGGTGTTCTGAGACAGGGTTGTACTATGTCGCCCATGCTGGCCTGCTCATGGTGATCTTCTTGCCTTAGCCTTCCAAATTTTGGGATTTAAAGCATGTGCCACTATGCCCCGTTTCATTATCTTCCTTGATAAGAGCCAGGAAAGTATATCTGAAGGCAAGGGACCTTGTTGAGAAGGAGTAGCACTGGCAGTGTGCGTCAGGGTCAAGGGTGACTGGATGCAGGCCAAAAGAAAGCAGCTAGTGAGGAGAGGTTGGGGCCAGTGACAGCATTGGGAGGGGCTGGCTTGAGAGGAGGCAAGTGCAGGAATGGTTTTGTGACTTTCTTGGGACCGGGAGACCTGAGAGTACTCCTGGGCCTTGGGGGTGATAGCAGAGCAGAGACACATGGAGTGGGTGAGGGGAGCCTCGGATAGGCAGGGAGACCTGGCTGCTGAGCTGTGCAGTGGACAGGAGTGAGCACAGGCAGGGTATTCAGGAGCCTGAGGTTAAGGCCCAGCTCAGAGCAGAGCAGGGACTAGGCAGGGTGCAGGCCTTCTTGAACTAGACTCTAGACTTCCAGATGGGGGACTTTCACCACCCTGGGCAGACATAGCCCACTCTTTAGGGTGGTGGGGCAGGAGCTAAGTCCAAAACCACATCGGGGAGAGGGTCCAGAAAGATGCACTGTGGCTTGGGGAAGCTAGAGCATCTGGAAAGGCCCTTCCAGGCTCTCTCAGAGGTGACAGGCTTGGGCCTTGGAAACTAGGGTGCAGTCAGCAAGGGCCTCAAGAGATTTGGGGATACAAGATATGGGGAAGTCAGGAGAGTGGAAAAGTCTGGGTTCTCCTGGAAGCAGTTGTGACAGTGTTAAGAGTATGGGAAGTCGCTGGGCGTGGTGGCACATGCCTGTAATCCCAGCACTCGGGAGGCTGAGGCAGGAGGATCACTGTGAGTTCGACACCAGCCTGGGCTACATAGTGAGTTCCAGGTCAGTCTCAACTACATAGTGAGACCCTGTCTCAAAGAAATCAAAAACAAAAACAAAACAAAACAACAACAAAAAAAAGAGTACGGGAAGTCAAGTGTGGTGGCGCACACCTGTAATCCCAGCACTCCGGAGGTTGAGGCAGGAGGGTTACTGTGAGTTCAAGGCTAGGCCAGACTGAACTACATGGTAAGACCCTGTCTCACAAAATCAAAAAAAAAGGAAGAAAGATTGATTCATTCTGCCTGCCTTGCAAGCACAAGGACCTGAGTTCAATACCTGGTACCAAAAAAAAAAAAAAAAAAAAAAGAAAGAAAGAAAAAGAAAGAAAGAGTGGGGAGATTGGTGACAGTGATGCATACAAATCAGAAAAGAGGCAGCAGGAGGATCAGCTGAGATCTGTCAGGACACAGGGGCACTTAGAAAAGCCTGGGCTGGGCAGAGTAGGCCCAAGGGCAGGCCCTGTGCAGCGGGCAATGCCGCCCCTTTGGGAGGGGAATTTGCAGTGTGCACCCTTGGGCTCAAGAGGAGAGCAGGTGAGTGGCTGGAGAGGACAAGTCCCCTGTGGCTCCCACCAAGCGCTGCCTTCCCCCGAGGGCCAGCTCCGGCCCAGCTGTAGGGTTAGCTCAGCATACTTCTCAGACTCCGGGCTTGGGGACGCCTCCGCAAGTCCTGTCTCTCATCCTCTGGAGGGTGGGAGAGAGGGCACCTGTGTGACATGAACTAGTTCCTCAGCTTTGCTGAGCCTCTGCTGTGAAGTGGAGAGGGACAACAGGATTGGGGAGGGAAGAGAAAGGAGCAAGAATTAACGGTGGCTTTAGAGGGCTGTGGGCTCCCCAGACAGCCCACATTTCCTTCAGATGACAGCTGCCTTTCCAAGTGGCTGCTGCGGATGGAGGAGCCACTGAAACCTCCTCCGAGGCCTGGGCATTGTTGCTGTGGGACACCGTGCCAGGACCTGTCTCTCCCTTGCAGAAAACACACCGCTTCCTTTACTGTGTGAACACGGGCTGGGCCATGGGGGCCGAGGATTCGGACTTTGAGGGCTGGGCCTTCCCCTTTCCGGGGGTGACACTAATAGAGGACTTTGTGACCTGGGAGGAAGAGGCCGAGATGGTGCGCTTGATGGACTGTGACCCTTGGAAGCTCTCTCAGTCTGGGCGGAGGAAGCAGGTATGGTGCCCGAGGGCCATGATGCTGCGGGGCCCTTAGTTACCTGCTCTGCAGCCACCCCAGGGGACTCCGGTGGGACATAGGCGGCTGGGGTAACTGAGGGCTGTGTCCAGCACAGAAGGATCGAAGGGCACAGAAGGATCACAGGGCACAGCTACCTGGCTCTCCACGCCCCTCTCCGCAGCTGGCTCAGTGGAGGGTGGGTTCTAGACAGAGGTCCCCATCTTCAAGGCTGCTGGAGGCGGCCAGACACCACCCCCTCCATTCTCTCCCCATCTTGTTCCTTGTCCTCTTACAGGCTCCTGCTCTCACCAGGAGCCAGTGTCTCTCCTCTTCCTCAAGGTCCACTTGCTGTGTGCGCACTCCTTTCCTCGTCCCCAGCCCCTGTAGAACCTGGGATCACCTACCAGCCCACCCGCCCTGTTCCCCTCATCCAACTTCCACACATGGCTAGTTCTCAGTCCCTCACCCTCTGCCCCTCAAGCCCTGTTTTGCCCCAGTCCTGGTGATATCCAGCCATCTGGAAGGTTCCCTCCTAGTCCGCCTCATGAGGCCTCCCCAGCCACGTGCTCTGCTGCTCCTTTGGCAGTGGCGTGGTCCACGGGGACACATCCCCTCTCCCTTGTGTGCTGTCTGTCCACCACCTGACCGACACCTCCCCTTCTTTGAGCATAGTCTCCTGCCTCCATCTCTCTCCTCCCCTTCCCTGTTAATTAACCCGCCCAAAACCCGCACCTCTACCACTCCCGCCAGCCCAGCTGCTGCAAGGTCTCGGGTGTTTCCTCTCTACGTGGGCCAGAAACCGGGGTCTTTTTACCTGTCCTGTGGCTCATGCTGAACCTTGAGCCACCACTGTATTTCCTGCCAGCCCTTCCTGCAGAACATGTTCTGACTGCATGAGTGTCATCTTCACAGCTGCCACCGAGACCTACGCCACCAGCAGCAGCCGTGGCTCCTTTTGCACATCTCCTGGGTGACCTGTCAGAACATGTTACCTTTCTTTCCAGTACTTGGAATCGAATCCAGGGCCTTTACACTGAGCTATATATGCCCAGCCCTTTTTATTTTCAGACAAGTTTTCATTAACACTCTAACTTGCCCAGGCTGGGCTTGAACTTTCGATCCTTCTGCCTCAGCCTCCCATAGCAGTGGGCTTACAGATGACACGTCGCCATGCTTGGCTTGTTTCTGCTCTTTGGCTATTGTGAATAATGCAGCTGGGGACATCTGTTTAGAGGGTTTGGCACATACATAGGGCGCAGCACAGGTGAGGAACTGCAGGTCATACGCTCCCCTTCCTGCGGTTCTGAGGCTCAGGCGACCTTGGTGTTGACCAGCTTGATGCTGCCTGGGCGTGGCCCGCCCTCCCCAGGAAAGGGATGCTGCTCTCTCCCCAGACCCTACTCCTGGGGACTGCTGCAAAACAGAGTACACTCCCTACATGTGTCCAGCTCTGCCTCCTGGGGCACAGGGCTGGGACACCCAAACTCCACCATCTCCTCCTTCCCCGCTTCATCTTTCCCTTACCATTCGCCGCCAGTGCTGCTTGCCGTTCATTTCCGGCCCCTTGCGTGTGCCTCCTTCCAGAATGTCCCATCCGTAAGGGTGAGGACTTGTGTGTGCCTTGATCCTTCGGACTGAGTTTCATGGGTAAACTCAGACACCTCTCCACAGGACTATGGCCCCAGAGTCAACTTCCGGAAGCAGAAGCTGAAGGTGGCGGGCTTCCAGGGCCTGCCCAGCTTCAGCCGGGAGGTGGTGCAGAGGATGGGCCTCTACCCCGGCCTGGAGGACTTCCAGCCCGTGGAGCAGTGCAACCTGGACTATAGCCCGGAGCGCGGCTCTGCCATCGACCCCCACCTGGATGACGCCTGGCTGTGGGGCGAGCGGCTGGTGAGCCTCAACCTCCTGTCCCCCACCGTGATGTCCATGTCCCGAGAGGGGCCCGGCAGCCTGCTGCTCAGTTCAGCCCCTCCTGCTGGGCCCAAGGACAGCACAGACACCGCGATTGCCCCCCACCAGTCTGTACTGTGCCAGCACGTGGAGGTGGCCATCTCTGTCCCCCGCCGCTCCCTTCTGGTGCTGGCTGGGGCCGCACGGCACCAGTGGACACATGCCATCCACCGAAGGCACATCACAGCCCGGCGCGTCTGTGCCACCTTCCGGGAGCTGTCGGCCGAGTTCCAGCCCGGGGGGAGGCAACAGGACTTGGGATGCGAGCTCCTACAGATCTCGTGCTCTTTCCAAGGGAGACCTGTGTGAGCTGCCAACCGGGCTGGAGGCACCAGGGCCTGCTTCTCCTCCCCTCATTGGGTTTTGGGGGAAGCCTGCTGACCCTGATGCCATGGGTAGCATAAGGCCTGTCCGGAGCCAGGTGATGGAACTGTGCACGGGGTACTCCCTCAGACCTCTGTAGCCATTTGGAGGGAGTGGGAATTGAACTTTCAAAATGCTGCTACATGTGTGAAATGACATTTGCCTTTACCCATCTCCTCGAAGTCTTCAGACACTTGCCAGTCAGGCTCGGGAGCTGGGGAGCTGGTGGGGCTGGTGGCAGATGTGCAGTTCAGGCTTCAGGTGGGGGCAGCCCCGAGGTGGCTCAGCCTGGATTGCACTAGTGCATCCTTAGGTGGGGTTGTGATGGGGAGGACAGTGGAGAGCCTGGTTCCTCTCACCTCCCCAGAATGCTGTTAGAAAGTAGGGAAAAGGCTCTTTTCCCTCCTAGGACACCTTGAGGTCATTCTTTTGATGAGCTGTGCTGTCGGGGGTGCTTGCCTAGAAAAGGTGGCTTTCCTGGTCACCGCCAGCCGAGAGGGGGAGGCAAAATACACTCAGCTCAGCACCACCTGCTGAGGTCCCCTGGGGGGAACAGGGCTGCATCACCCCCAGGAAAGGGTCACAATCAAGCCGCTCAAGTCACTGCTGAAAACTGCCAAGAGCTACCAGGCACCATCTGCAAAGCGGCTTCCCAGCCACTGGCCAGGCTTATCCTGCAAAGACCCTATGAGAGCTGGCAGGTGCGGTAACACGTGCCTATAATCCCAGTACTCAGGAGGCTGAGGCAGGACAATGCTACCTTTCAAGACTGTCTCAAAAAAAAAAAAAAAAAAAAAAAAAGATGACCCTGTTAGAGGTGCCCTGCAGATGGGCGTGGGCTCCTAGGCCACCAGGACTACTGCCTCTGTGTCCTTCCCTTGCAGCATTGGGTGGAGGGTGGCTTTTCACCCCATCTGGGTCCCTCACTGGAACCTGAGACACCAGCTGGCTGGGTCTGAGGGAGCCTCTGCCCGGCAGGCTGTGCCTCTGAGCTGCACCCTGGGCAGAGCCTGCAATGTGCAGCCAAGGAGGGAGCCAAGCAGCAAAGAAACCTGTGATTGCCAAACATTCCCTGGCCCAGCCCACAGTTCTACAGAATCCATTTTAGGAAACATCCCGCTAAGTGACAGTCAAGTTGGTCCCCAGAGATGTGTGTTCATGAAGCCAATAGTAAACCCTGCTGTGTCCCACAGCTGCGTCTTTAATCCAAAATGGGCTATTCCTGAGCCGAGCACAGTGGCCTATGTCTGTAATCCTAGCACCAAGGGAGGCTGAAGCAGGGAGATTGCAAGTACAAGTATTGCTTGGGCAACTGTGTGAGACCCTGTATCAATAAAACCAGTGTTGGGGATGGAGCTGAATGCAAAGGCCCCCTACACACACATCTCACCAAGGGCACCAGGTGGTTGGAAGAGCTTTACTGGTTTATTCAGTTCAATCCAGGGCAAGTGTTAAAAATCCACATGCAGGACAGGAGTTACATCCGCCACCTGTACAATGTGGATACCCAATCCATGGCACAAACAGGCACCACCTACAGGTGAGTCCTGATCCACTGGACTCAGTTTGTCTTCAACAGACCTTCCAGGAAGATGCTAATCATATTCTGCCTTTGGTTTGTAAAACAGAAACACCTGAGCTGTGAGACATGGGGCCAGGTGCACGTGGGGGCTGCGCGCTGCACGGGAACAGCCCGGCGTGTCCGCTGCACCTGGTCTGCGCCCAGCCTGCAGAGATGAAACGAGGGCTCGGTGCCTCATACTGAAAAATCAGGTTATGACTCCAGAAGCAATCCGCTTTCGCATCCCCCAGGCTGACCCGAGTGTGCCACTCCCAAGGGCAGTCTGCCTACCAACTGGGGTGGCCTGAGGTTTCCCAGAGCACGGTCACCTCTGTTCCTGCAGACTAACTGCCCCACACCTCAAAACATGCAAGGCTGGAGCTGGGAGCATGAGATCACGGGCGTCACTGACCAGCACACTGGACAGAGTGAGGCTTCTGCCCACTACTGTGGCCCAATACCAGGCACCTGCTGTCTGGTGCTGATTCTGCAGGGCCAGACACTGCCTGTGGACCAGGTGTAACCCCTGGCTCTGGGCTGGCACAGGGGTGAGATTGGCACAGTCTGTGGAACTGGGCACCATGGGCAGGAGCAGCAGATGGCTTCATAAAGTGGGTGGCAGAAGTGGGACCAATGTGGCTCCTCTCAAAAGGCTCCAGGTGGAGAAAGGGCCCCCTGTTCCCTCCCAGCCGAGCTGCTCATTCAGAAGGGCCAGCCTGTTTCGCCCAGCCGTCCTGGCCGGTCAGTGACATTCTTTAGCAAAGTACATACACATTAAAGCAGACAAGCTTTCAACAAAGCTCCAGGGAAGCGAGCACACACCAGAAGGCATTGGTTCCCTTCAGATGTCCTCTAGGGAGGTGTATGACCTGCCCCAGACACGCAAGGCTCTGGCCCCAGGGAACTGGATGTCCAGGCTCCTAGTAAATAGCGCAACCCACAGGGGAGGTTCCCGCAGTATCTCAGCATGTGCTAAGGTTTGACACAGTGGGTCACACTCCCAGAGGCCTCAAGGAGGCCGCAAAGTGTCCCCTGGCACACAACCCAGACACCACAGAGACAGTAAGCTGTAAGAAGTGGAACACAAAGAACCGAAATGACCTTATATGCGTAGCAAAAGACAAGGCAACCCTCCAGGTGACTTCTGGAAAACAGGGTAAACATGGTCTTGAAGCAACTCGGGCTGCAACATGCTCCCACCAAAGCCTCAGGTGTGCTGCACGCTCAGTGATGGTGCCAGAGCCCTGCTGCACAGCTTGTAAACATGGGCTGGGGACCCTGTGCTGGTCAGTGTCATGATGAGCACTTGTCCACCCTGGCCCCTGGCCCTACTACCCGTGGGGCTGGTCAGCAGCCATGCTGAGACAGGAAGCTATCTCCTCTTGACACCATGGCTCACAGGCAGCAGGGAGCCAGGCTGGGGCTGTGCCTGGTATGGTGTCCTGCTCTGCTTTTCATGCAGCCCAATGGGGTGGTGACTTAGGCTCAGAGGAGGACATTCTGGGCTGTGGTCACCTCCACCTGATGGCTTGGTGAGTCCACGTGGCCCAGGCCCCAGGCTGGCTGGACAGGGGGAATCTGAGCCTAGTGTGAACACCCCTCAACTAACAGCCTCCTCCCGGGAAACTGCCCACGGGGCCTGACAACTCTGATGCCCACTGCAGTACCCACCATACCTCACAAGCTGACTGTGCCTCTGGCTCCTGCTTTCCCCCCGACCAGCCAGGCCATGCAGCTCCCTCCAAGGCTGAGAGGAAAGCACCAAATTAGACCAGCAGTCCTGCTAATCACTCACATGGGCCTGCTCAGCCAGCAGGCAACCACGAAGTCCAGTTCTGCATGCTGGGGGTAAAACCTCGAACTCACAGCCCCAGTTCCAGTTCACTCTCAGATGCCCCCTGAACACTGGTGCTGCCTGGAGCCTTTCCTGGGACAGGGCTTCTTGGGCTTTCCCCCAACCCAGGAAGTGCCCAGGGCCAGGGAGGTGGCTCTTGGCCACAGAACCCCCACATCAATGGAGCCGGTTCCAGGGACCAGCAACCAGATTACGGCACTAAAACAGCAGGAAACTTTGGCCTTAGACCGTCTGGCAGTGTCTAAGCAGCCTGCCGCACCATCTGTCTTCACAGAGCCCCCAGCCCCTCACACCACCTGCAGGCTTCGCTCCTGCCCATCCAGCTGCACCTTGAGCTTGTGCAGCTCCTCGATCTCTCGGTTGTGGCGCTCGGTCTTGTGGCGCACCAGCGAGCGGTAGAAGTGGATGGTGAAGACCACGAAGATGAGGCCCACAGGTACCATGATGATAGTGGACACCAGAGCAGCCTGCCAGCCCGTGTGGTTGCTGGATGCAGGGCCGAGTTGGTGTCTGTCATCTACAGGAAGGAACTTGATCCAGCAGAGCAGCACCACCTCAGCCAGGAAGAGCAGGATGCCGAGCACAGTGGAGAAGCCCCAGGCCAGCTCAATGTAGGGGTGCATGCGCTCATGTGGAGACTCGCTGATGGAGTTGAGGTTGTGGATGTTGCTCACGGCCTCCACGTTGGGCAGGATGCACGTGCTGATGAGAAGGGCGAACAGGTGCACAGCCACGAGCACCGTGGTGCAGGCGCTGAAGGCGATGAGCAGCGGCCGCGGGTACTGGTACTGCGTCTCCAGCTGCACCTCCACCATGGCCACCTGTGGGTGCAGAGGTGGGGTGGGGCCTGATGGGCAGGGCCACAAGTGTCCCGGGAGGGGGCAGGGCCAGGCATCACCGGGTGCCCTGCTTGTGGGGCTGGCCTACTCTCAGAGCGCTCGAGGTCCTGAGACAAAGGCTCCTGCGGGTCTCCAGACTCAGGGTTGCGAACCTGGATGGCTTCTAATGGGCCACAGGTGTGTGCCCCAGCTGAGACCCAAGGAGGGGAGGAGGCTCGCCTCTAACGTGCAAGAGAGGGGGCCGTGGAAAGGAGGCACCAACCATGAGAGGAGCTATGGCTGTGGTCACAGGGCTGGGGAGGGTCTGAAATGCACACAGGGAAAAGCAGTCTTGGTGTGACACAGGACCATGGAGGGGGACTGAAGGGCTGCTGGGCTTAAGACTTTCAACAGTTCTTTTGTTTTGTTTCAGATATGGTCTTGGTTTGTACCCAGGCTAGCCTTGAACTTGGCAGCAATCCTCCTGCCTCAGCCTTGTAAGTACTGGGGTTGCAGGAATGTGCCACCATGGCCAGCCTCAGCAGTTCTTAAAGGGTTCCCCCCGCTTCTTCCTTCTCTCTCCCTCTCTCTCTCTCTCTCTTTCACCCATATATTTGCCTCCGAGATCTGACCATCCATTTCCCAAAATCTACAAGAAAGATGTGATGGTGCATACCTATAATCCCAGCATTTGGGAGGCTGAGGCAGGAGGATTGAAAGTTCTAGCCTGCCTGAGTTTACATGGTAGGTTCTAGGCTACCCTGGACTACAGCGAGAGACCTTGTCTCAAAAAATACCTAGTAAATAATATTTCACAACTTTGTTCAACCACTACCATATGTGGAGTGAGACCCTCATCCCTTCACTTCGCCTTTGCTGGTCTTGGAACATTTTGGTAGGGAAGATGCTACAGTCCTAGCGGACCAGAGCTGAGCAGCAACACAACAGTGAGGATGACTGGGGATTTTGTGAGAAGAATCCCCCCAAAACAATGACATGGCACAGGCTGACAGGTGGCCTTTCTTCAGTGCCTCAGTGGCCTGCGTAGGCTCTTGCTACCCAGAGAGGATATGGCCCAACCAAGGGATAATGCAAACTGGAGGCCTCCAAAGTAGGAAACAGAGATGGTTAGAAGGCAGGAGTGAGGGCTCACACAAGCAGTTCTGTTCCAGGCCAGAGGACATTTCTCATTGTTTCTGCAGAGATTTTTTTGGGTGGCTGCGGATCACTGGTCTTTGATAAACATGAAGAAATGAGCTTAAGGCTGGGCACCAGCGCCTGCAGGTGGACGAAGGAACAGCTTTGCATTTCTAATCAAGGAATACTAATAAAGACAAGGGGCTCCACCTGGGGAACTGCCTGTTTTCAACAGTCCCCATCCTGGCTCTGAGTCAGTAACAGCCTTAGTTACTAGTTTTCCCTTTAATGGTGGTGCGATAATCTAATCTAATAATCCAATCTGATCTGATCTAATCTAATCTACTTCTGTAGGCGCACTAATGGTCCTGCCCACCCCGTGCCTCCCCACTGTATGGTCCCTCTGCTCCTCACCTCCCTAGGGATGTGTGCAGAACACAGCAGTCTGTGGCCACCTCCCCGAGAGGGAACCTGAAGGAAGCTTAAGAAAGCCCTTGTTGGCACCAGAGAGACAGCAGAAGTGGGACAGAACTGACTCGCTACTAGCAAGCATTCCTGCTGTGGCCACGCTAAGGACAAACCATTCCTGGGGCACTGGGGTCTCCGTCCCTGCCTCTCCGTGCTTGCCACCCTGAAGGCTGCCGTAAAGTCTCAGAAGGCCTCCTCTTCTCCAGAATTCTTACACCCTGTTAGGTAACTTGATTCCCAAGGTTTGTCTGCAAATCTCCATCAGTGGTTTTGAAGCCTTCACCTGGGCTGAGCATTTTGTTGGATGAAACACAAGGTTGCCAAGGCAGGAGGACTCCCAAGTTCAAGGCCAGCCAGGATAATTTAATAAAACCCTGTCTCAACATATAAAATTCAAGTGGTACTGTGCCTGCCTCACAAGCTCAAGGTCCTGAGTTCGATCCCCGGTACCTCAAAACAAAAAATATAAAATACAGTGGGTTAGGGATATGGCTCAGGGGTAGAGAGTCCCTGATTCAATCTCAGCAGGGCAAAAAGCAAAGCAAAACAACCCAACAAACAAAAAGATAATGAAATCTCTCAAAGTTTGGAAAGCCAAAGGTTTGGAAGGCCTGGGTCCAAAAAGCTAACTGCAAACTAGAAGTAAATTCCAAGACTGGGGCCTCATATAAAAAGGAAACTAAACTGAAAAAAAAAAAAACAAGGAAACTATCTTAACCATATTAAGTCCTATAATACTAAAATATTTCTGTTTTCCAAAAGTTTAAAAAACAAAACAAAACAAAAAAAACACACAGGCCAGAAAAGTTCAATGCAATCCCACAATTCTGTGGAATGGAAAATAAGCTCCAGTTTTTTGTTTGTTTTCTTTTGTTGTATGGTACTGGAGGTTGAACTCAAGGCCCTTTTAAAAACATTATTTTATTTTGAGATAGTGTCACTAAATTGCCACGACTGGGCTCGAATTTGTAATCCTCCTGCCTCAGCCTCCCAACTAGCTAGAATTACAGTCACATACCACTGTGCCCAGCTGACCTCCAATTTTAATAGTGGCATCTAAAGTAAGCTTGAAAGCTTTTTTTCTTTTTCTTTCTTTTTTTCTTGTGGTACTGGGGATTGAACCCAGTCTGGGCTTGAATTTGTAATAACTTCTGCCTCAGCCTCATATGGGTGTATAACACCAAGCTCAGTTGAGAATTTTTTTTGTTTGTTTTTTTGAGATAGGGCCTCGCTATGCATTCTAGGCTGGCCTCAAACTCTCTTGTCTCAGCCCACACCCCCCACCCTACCTAGCATGAAAGTATTTTGAGCATAATAAAAACCATGGGAAGAAAATCACTAGGAGCCTAAATGGTGTACTATCTGATTATATACTTTTGTAATATGGTGTACTAATGGGCTTATGTTTAAAAAATTAAACAAAATGACCTCAGTGTGGTGGCCACATGTGTAATCTCAGCAACTTGGGAGGCTGGGGTAGGAAGATAATGAGTTCAAGCTCAGCCTGGGAAATTTAGGAAGACCCTGTCTCAAAATAAAAAATAAGTAAAGGGCTATGGATGAGCCTAGTGGCAAATGCTATCCTAACAGGTATGCTGGGTTCATTTCCAGTACTACAAAGAAACAAAAAGCAAGACCGAAATAAGCCTTTTCTTCACACTGCAGGACTAAACGCAAACACACCGCCCTCTAGGCTGGTGAGCTCCACCCACCCTGTGCGGAAGTCGGGCAGCTCTGCTCTCTGAGAGCGGGAAGCCTCTGTCTCCAAGCACCGCTTCAGCCAGCCTGAGGACCTGCATAAACTCTGGTGGCCACAGCAGCTCGCTCTGCTGCCTTTTTATTTTAATTTCCACTGGCAGTTTAACAACCAAGGTTGTGGGCAGCAGAGGTATGATCATTTTATATAAAGAAAGAAATCTGGTGGTAGATGCCTATAATCCTAGCACTCTGGGAGGCTGAGGCAGGAGGAGTGTGAGTTTGAGCCCGGCCTGGATGACTTGGTGAGATCCTGTTTCAAAAATACTGTAAAATATATACTAAAGGGGCTGGGAATATCTCATACAGAAAAAGAAAGAGGTGAGGGGAGAGAAAGACAGGGAGAGATAGAAAGACAGGGAGAGACAGAAAGAAAGACAGACAGAGAAATAAAATAACTTCCAGCCCAGCAGGACCCCTGCACCCAGCAGCAAGGGGCTGAGCCCCAGTGTGCTTCCTCTGGGGTGATTCACTGAAGGGCTGGGATAGGGACTTTGGAGTCAATAGCAGATGTGGCTTTGCCCACACTGACTTGTGCTGGGATAACTCAGAAGGAAAGTGGCAGTCGGGAGCCAGGCCAAAAACTCTGCTGCGTCACCCTGGATGAAGCCACATTTGGCAATTGTCTGCGTCCCCAGCTGGGCTAACCCAATCCAGCCCTGAGATCCTGCTGAAGCCTCCAGACTGTCGGGTGGTGCCCAGGATGGGGCAGATGTGGGTGCCTGTCCCTAAGAAACCCTGTCCCCGGAAGCTCTTCGATTTCCCCACAGCCCTCCCTGCCTGGCAAATGTCATACGAGAACACAACAGCAGGCTTCTTAAGACTGTGGGGCTTGGGGCTCCCCTGGGTTCCCCCAGCCACCACACTGTGGACACAGCAGGGCAGTACTCTGGGAGCACAATACCAGGGAGCAGAGGAAGCGTTGCTGGGCTGCACTCACCATGGCGAAACCGGAAAGGAGGGCGGAGGTCCTGCTGGAGGCCTTCAGCTTGGCCCTGCTCAGGTACAGCTTCCTCCAGGACAGTGCCTGAACTGAGTGGTGGTTGGAGGTGACCAGTTCTAGGTAGCTGCGGCGGACCCAGTCCCGGTAATCCATGCCTTTATGGCCAGGTTCAGGGCAGGCAGGGTTGGAGGGGTCCACAGGCACATTGAGCTCGGCGCTCATGGTGGGAGTCAGGCTAGGGGAGAGCGGGAGATGGGGAGCAAGCTCAGGCAGCATAAGGCCTAACAGACTCCAGTACATTTCACCTTCTCCAGGGCCCACAGAACCCTGGTGTCCAAAGGTGGCATGGCTATGGGGCCCTGTGAGGCTGTGTGTGAGCCAGAATTTGGGAACCACCTGCAGAAGAGGAGGGTCACGCGTGCATTCCCAGGCAGCATCGCAGCCAAGTTGTTCTGCTGCAAAGTTGGAATCCACCCACAGTCCATGCTCAAGGAAGCCCAGGTTCAAAGCCTGCATGGCTCTTAAGTGCATGGAATTCAAATGTTGGCCAAAAGTACCCAGCTCCAAATCTTTAGATTTATCTATTAGGACAGGAGCTATAGCATTCAGAAAGAGCTTGGGGGCTGGGGTGCGGCTCTGTAGGAGCACAGGCCTGGCTCACAAGAGTCCTGGGTTCCATCCCCAGCATGGGAAGTGGTGAGGAACCTGGATCCTAAGCTTAGGACACTTAGATTTGACTCCCCCATTAGATTCTGACCCTGCCATCTACTTTTTTGATCTCATGCCCTCATTTTCAAAATGGGGATTTCCCACATACAGGACTCCTCACAAAATAATGCAGCCAAAGACTCAAAACTGTTCAACATCCAGATGCCAGCCACAAAATGAACACTTGCAGGTAGCAGCTAGCTTCTCAAATTCAATTTAGTTTTCTTTTCTTTTCTTTTTTTTTTTTGGTACCGGGGATCGAACTTGGGTCCTTGTGCTTGCGAGGCAGGCAGTGGAACCACTGAGCTAAATCCCCGGCCTCAATTTAATTTTGAATTGCTTGAATCCAGGGCCTTGACACTGAGCTACAATCCCCCATCCCCAGACTTTTTTAAATTTTGAGAAAGGGTCTCACTAAGTTGCTGAATTGCCCAGGCTGGGCTTGAACTTGCAATCTTTCTGCCTCAGCCTCCCAGAACGCTGGGATCAAAGACAGGTGACACCATGTCGTGTTTCAACTTAATTACTAAAAATCGAATTCCCCCTAAAAATCAAATACTTGGCTTATATAACTTAGAGCCAGTTCCAGGCTGTAATGGGAAACCTTTAGCAAAATGACAAACTAAATCCACCAAGTGATATAAGCACATTTTAAGGGGAAAGGGAAGCTGAAGACCCCAGAGTCACCTCTGCTAAACATCCGGTTTGACAATAACATGGATCAGAAGGACTGATCTGTAGAGATCTGTGAAGTTAACCTCAAATCCCCAGTAATAGCACAGGGGATTGGTGGGCTCCCGAGCAGCCACACGCTGGGAAGGATCAGCTCTAATTAATCTCCAGGGTGTGCTTCAAGGGCACAGACACCTTGCAGCTGCCCTGGCATCACACAGTAACTTCTCTGTTCAGGCCCACCAGGCCCCATGGCAAGTCTGCCTAAAGCTATTAGGAACATATCGGGTGCCTAGGTCCCAGGGAGTGTGGCTGGGGTGGTAGGGGGCATTTACCAAGGTCAGCGGTAAAGGAAGTGCCTCCCACTTCATCCATCCACAGCAATTCCCAGCACGGTCCTAAGGGAAGGCCTGGAGGGGGCAAGGGCCTCCTCTGGCTCAGCTTCCTCTTTGTTCCCCATCAGGCTGCAGAGCCACAGTTCTTATTGGACAGGCATCAGGCCCCCTGGGGAACAGCCTGTGCTGTATCTACCAGGGGATGCCAATTACCAGGTCATTTACAGGAATGCCAACTTGGGCTTCCCACCCGGGTCTCATCTCCTTGCTCACATCTGCAGCCAGCAGCACTGCATCCAAGCTCCCCGTCACTAGAATGCCCTTCCCTTGGGGAAGGAATTCAGAGAAATGTTGCTCACTAACCAATCAGTTGGTTAGCTTCAAATAACTGAAAATGTCGTAATCTGGAACTGTACTTTCTCTTTTCCTTTCCCCTATATAGAGCAGAACTGAGCCAATCGGGTCTGAGTGAGTGGGGAAGAAGGGCTCTAACCCTGGCTCTCTGCATTCCATCCCACAGAACGTTACTACACTTGGTTCCTAGCAGGAAACATAAAAGAGACAGCATCTCCACCTGCAAGGAACTCACTGCCAGCAGAAAAGTAAGACAAGGGGGTGACCCTCACCCAGTGAGCTAATGTACTGGGGACAGGGAGGAATCAGAGAAGAGCTGGTTTCCTCCTGCTAGGCAGACCAAAGGACCCTGCAGGAAGCCCCCACCCCCACCCCAAGCCAGGTTAGGGGACTCAGATGTGGCTAGTGAAGACAGGTTTGCAAAGAGGAATGATCCCTCAAAGATGAGCTGCTCCTCACATGGAGTGACTGTGAGGGCCCAAAGACCAGCTCCGGGAGCACAGGTGGGATAACTCCCATCCTGGGGGGTCAGGGAGACCAGGGTAGTATGGCTGCACCGGATTTTTTCTGGCTGTCTGTGCTTGAGTGGCATGAAAGGAACTAGTGGTGGGAACAGTCTAGCACTGCTGTGTCTATTTGCTGGGACCAC